CATCATTGGAAGGAATGATGCCATTTGGAGGAGACTAATTTTGGATCAGACAGATGGATCAGACTGTAGTAGTAGCCCCAGTCTTTAGACTCCAACCTCTTGGTATCATAGGAATTGGCAGGCATTTGCCAGCCAAATGAATGCTGAAACTAGGGAACAAGTCATTGCAACTACCTTTTCCAGAAGTCTTGTATTCCGTATATCACTAAATCTTATCTCATTTTCCCCCTTTGAATTCTCTTTCCAGTGATTGGAGTCTCACCATTCCCTCCTTTCCTTTCTCACCACAACCAGCTGAATTGAGGCCTTCTGTCCCCTTGCTGGATCGTAGCAATAGTCCCCAGACTGCGCTCCAGCTCCAATGGTGGACTGTCTCATCCCATCTAAAGGAGAATTCCTCCAGGCCAGGAACTTGGACGTTTGTCTCACACTTATATTCTTAGCACCTAAAACACTGCTGGGCACACAGTAAGTGCTCAATAAAGGCTTTTGTTGAGTGATTCACCATGCCAATTCATCTACACCATGACCTCAGTCATGTTTTCTCTTATTCTCTCTCATCGGAAGAATAGAATTTTTGAATAAAAATTCAACTTCTTCATAAAATGGCCCCAAACCATCTCTTTCTAACTTTATATTCTATAACCACCAAAGTCTTTTATATAGGTGGGCTCTCATCACCCTGGAGCTGATTATTTTTGTCACTTCTGAGCTTTGATGATACTCGCTCTGTCCAATATGCCCCCTTGCCCACCTCCCCAACCGTGCACCTATAGACCTCCTCCACTATTCTGAACTCTCTCTTTCTCTCTCTCTGGAATGAAAACAGACATCTTGCTTGGCTAGTTCATCAGTGTACCTCTGTGTGTGACAAAAGTTAGGTCCCTAATAAATGACTATTGAATGAAAATGTGTGTGCATGTGGCATGTGAGAGAGAGATTGAAAGAAAGAGAGAGATTTCTCTGATAAGCCAAATTATCCCTCCTAGCCCTGGCTTCTACCTCATTGTGCTTATTTATACCTCTGACATCAAAATATACTTCAACATTAAGTTATAATTCTTTCTGTACATTTCATGATATACTCCCAGGGTTAACATTAATTCCTTAAGGGCAAACACTATGACATACATATCCTTCTTTCTGCAGGGTTCCTAACATATACCATATTAGGGACTGAAAAAAAATCTGTTTGGAATTTTAAGTCACCTACTTCAAATTGTTTGGCAACAAACTGCAGCAGTTTATTTTCTTCTTTATAGGTTATAAATTAATGTATGTAAATAAAGCTAGAACTAGACCTATATAGTCCTTACTGAGCATGTGGATACTAAACTTTGGAGACAAAATGGATTTAAAAAAATGTAAAAGAATGATTCAATGAAATAACCTTTATGGTCCCACCAGCTCTAAAGTCCATGGTTCGGGTTTATGGGCAAAATTAGTCTCCTCCAAATGGCATCATTCCTTCCAATGATGTTCTCTGTCTCCTCCTTGGAAAGCGGGCAAAGTGAATGCATGTGCACACACTGTCCCCACTCAGAAGTAGAAAGTAGAACCGCTGTCTTCCGTGGATTCTCCCCGCCCTCACCAAAAGCATAAAAGTTAGCTTATAAGTTACTTCTAGTAAATCAATCCTTTCTTTCCTCTTAAACTTATAATTATGAAGGGAAGTATAATAACATTTTACTGCAAAGAGACTTAGTAATTCTGGCAGTACTTCATTAATCACTTAATCAGTGTTCAAGCAGAACTGATGTCCTTGACATATATAATCAATCTTGATTCCTCCCACATTTGATTTTCCTCCTTTCTGAAACCTGACCATAGACACTAAGGATTGGTGGCTTTTTTTCACATTATGTTTTTGTTACAGACAACCCATATTGCATATAATAATAATCAGAGTATGGATACCTACATTGGGCCTCCTCAAAGTCTATTTGAAAGCAATTGCTTTCTCTTCAGTGAATTTATAGAGATTAATGGTGCCAGGACCAGATTCTATTATAGTTTAATGGGAAAATGGGATTGGATCATTTTTTAGCTTCCTATGGCATAGTATTCTTTTGGAGATGGCATATTTATTGTTATTGTTAAGCCAGAGCTACTTGTTTATGATACATTCTGAGGAACTTTTCCAAAGCTACATTCTGAAGGCAGCTGGGCATGAAAACATATTAACACTCCAAAAGGGAGCAGCGTGGGATTAAGTTTGTCAAATATCTTCTGCTTCAGAAGGGTATTTTTATGATCACTGGTGTAACTATGGAAGCTCCGATTCTAGCACTCCTTTTCTCATAACATTTAATAATTTGAACATTTTATTTATTCACCCAAAATTTTAGTGACATATAATTTCCATGTTGACTGACAGACCATCCATTCACTCATCCATACACTGCTTGTCAACATCACGCGTTTTTCTCTGTCTTTTAAGAGAACTGCAGGATAGACTTCACAGGTAGATACTAGTGTAGAAGATGAACAGATGAAGACTCTTAACTCATGACTGCACATATATTTGAACAAACAGACAAGAATTTTGTTATCTGGCTTTTGAAGCATATTTATCCTCCATAAAAGGTGACTTCATATTAAGTCTACACACACTGTATGCTGCAAAAGCTAGAGTAAAAATGAATTTTTCTGGTAATGATAGAAGTCTTTGGAGATGCTCAACTTAGCACTGTTCAGGTGTTCAATCAGATCTACAGTTGCCTCTGCAGACCAAGAATTGGGAAGCCAAAGGGATGATGGTAACAATAATAACAACATGGACTTGCTGAAGTCTTCCTATGCCAAAGTGGTGTGTGATGTGCTTTCCATGGGTTAATTTAATGGAATGCTCTTAGTATCTCTGTGAGATCAGTATCACACATGCTCCCAGTTCAAAAAGGAAAGGGGAGTCTCACTGAGATTAAAAATTTGCCCCAAGTTCCAGACTAGTCTGCCTGATTGAGAGCCCTCAACCACCCATCTGTCTACCCATCTTAGGTGTATAAACTGAGGCCCTGGGGGCTGAGATCCAGCCAGTAAGTAGGTGGCTATATTTGAACATGTATTTGAGATAGAAGCTAACCTACCGAACAATTACAGTAAAATAATTATCCTTTAGTGAAAAATTAATGAAACACTGGGCTAGCTAGAAAGTAATTAGTAGATTACAAAAGAAATTAAGGTGAACCCTCTACTCGGGCATGAAAAAGAGAGTTGGAGAAAAGGTTAATTATCAGAATCCACATCGTATTGGCAAGGGATAGATTTGATCTTGAATGCCTATTACTAATAGCCATATAGACATGGTCTTCATTAGGAAAACAAATTTCCTGATCTAAATGAAATCTCCCTAAAACCATTCATTCTCTTCCCTCGCCCAAGCACACACTCGCCTCTCTTTTGCTCTGATATATGATGATCAAAGCAATTTTCTGACAACTAATTCAACTCCTCAAATTATGGTTATAAGTGAGGTTATCAATTATTAAATGAGGTATAGCTTTAATTAATACATTGACAATCTTTTTTTTTAACAACGTCAGAAGTGATTTGGGGTTCCGTAAATCAGTTGTTGGCCTGAGTAACTTTGAAGAAAAATAAAAGAACTTTTACCAAAACAAAACACAATCCCCATGAACCGATGCATGAGGAAGCTTGTTCTGCACTGTCCCAAATCTCTATAAGGCCTCTTCCTGTCACACAACACAAGTTGCCCTAAGCCACAGCCATTTTAAGGAAAGCTGATAAGGTCCCTTCAGATATTTAAAGAATGGACAAGAGGTAAAATATAAGAAGGGACCCTATCTAATGAGAGAACAAAAGAGCTCTTGAACCCGACCAGACATTCTGAGCTGAGGGACTCAGGAAACCAAGTCCTGCCAGCCTCTGCAGGTGCGACTATGTAACTGCCAGCACACTTAATCAATATCAAGCATTTATTGAACTTCTATAATGTACTCACTACATTCTGTGCTTAGACTGAAGAAATTAGACATGATTTCTACCTCCAAAACCCTGTGAGAGGACAAGTTCATAATTGTATAAGAGGTGTTTTCCAGACCAGTGACTTGAGGTATAGTCCGATAGCAGACAGGTAGCTAACACCCATTCCTGGCTGGGCACCTCCAGCTCCTCCACAGGAAATTCACCCAGATCTCTTCTTCTGGCTCCAGGGGGTTAGAGGCTCAGAGAAGTGTCACAAAATCCTACTTTCTCTATATCTCCCTGTGGCCTATGTGGCTTGGCCACTGCCATATTGCTCTGTCATCCCCCAGGTATCTACACATGGTGCCAGGTCTGAGGTCATGTCCTGGGCATCCATCTATTGCTGGTCCCACCCACCAAGGCTGCTCTTGTGAAGAGGCCATCCCACAGCAAATGTCCCCACTTTTTTACTCCACATGGACCCAGCACAGAGAACAAATGTGGAGAAGCTTTTTTTCCATGAGCATTGCATCTTGTATCAAGACACAAAACCACACTTCACTTAAACCCTTTTGTTTTTCTATAGGATTTGATGGTAGAACTTTTCATTTCAGTGACCGTTGATTCAGCTGGTAGGTTTCTAGTACTCATGCACTTGCCTGAAGAAAACCAAAGGGACACCATACCTCTGGACACACAATGTCCCTCCCATTTAGCCCTGGGTATTATTATCAATCCCTGCTTTCTATCCAGTTGTGGTGAGCGCTTTCACCATAATACCACTCCCCCACGGATCAACCGGCAGCCTTTGCTACTGTACGGCCATGGAGTAGATGGCCGTAGATCACTTAGATCACTTTCTCATTAATTCCAACAAATCCATTTTGTTTCCCAAGGAACCCTTCTGTTTTGTGCAAAAAAAGCTCTTCTAGTGGACCAGATCAACTCCAGATCTGTTCCAAATGGCTGTAAATTGTGACATATGGCAACATATAGACATGCACCCTGGGATCCTCATGACAGTAGTTAATGATATATGGATGTTGCATGCCATGTTTTCTCTTCTGTTGTTTCAGATAAAAAAGTATTCGTTATCCAAAGTGAAAACCTCAAGAAATGCATTCAAGGAGGCAAATCTGTACTAACCCTGGAGAATTGCAAACCACTAAGCGAGCACATGCTGTGGAAATGGGTTTCAAACCACCGCCTCTTTAACTTAGGGGGCAGTGGCTGCCTAGGCCTGAATTTATCTAATCCAGAGCAGCCATTGAGCTTATACGAGTGTGATTCCACTCACGTTTCCTTGAGATGGCGCTGTAACAGGAACGTGATCACCGGCCCTCTCCAGTACACGGTGCAGGTGAACCACAACAACATGCTTGTGGCCTCAAGGAAATATCTTCACAAGTGGATTTCCTATATGTCAGATGGTGGAAGCATTTGTGAATATCTGCACAAAGGTGAAAAAAAATAAATAAAAGTACTCTTGAAATGTTATATTTAGAAAGGTTGCCCCTAAGTAAAGATTTGTAAATTATATTATATGACAGCACCCAGAGCCTGAAGGGATGTCTAAACACATTTTAGTTGCTTACTTCCTTATTATAAAGGGATTACCAGAGTCTTGGAATGGGCTTTCTATATGCTGCTAAAGAAGCAAAACTCAAAATTTAAAGATATTAGGGAAGAAACCACTTAAATAACTCTGGGAATCAATGAAAAGGAGGAGAAAGAATAGAAGGCTGGAAGAGGGAAAAATAAAGGTGGGAAGAATAGGTCTTTGAAGTAAAGACTTGTCAGGATAGATAGAAGAACCTCTCCTGCTCCCATTTCTCTTGTTGTAGAAACTCAGCGCCATGTGTGAGTGTGTCCACAGAGCACCTCAAAGCCTCCTCACTGGCATCCACGTGATGGTTGTGGACAAGGCATTTAAAGATAAACCACAGACTACTGTCAGGAGCCATTGGCATGTGTCAAGGGGTGGGAAAGCATGGTTTCAGGAGTGGGGGTTTTCCTTCTCCATAGTTCTATAATTTGGGCATTTTGAGCAGAAAAAAAAGGCAAAGAAAATGGCATAAATTCTGAAACCTCAAACCAGTCTCAGATTTTGTTCTGTAGCTCTCTTCATTCATTCATCCATCCTTCTTTCACGTAGTTATTAAACACTGACTATTTCTTGGGTACAGTGCTGGCCATTTAATTTACACAAGCCAACAAGACAGATGTGGCCCCTGACCTCATGGTGCTCTGTAGAATTATGCCTTAACAAGAGAATACCCTTCTAGGAACTTTATACAAGTCCTGGGAAGCAGAGCAAGGGACTCCTAAGATCTAAAGCAGGACTTTCTTTTGTACCTACAATAAATGAATAAAAAGAGAGCCAAGAGCAAGCCATTTTCAGGACTCCCTACAATAAGCAATTGCTGTAAGCTGGCACTCTGAATAGTCTTCAGTTCTAAGGAAAAATGTAATATTTTGCTATATGTTAATTTTTTAGCCATATACTCACATTCCTACACACTCAGGGGAAGACTCAATAGAAGTCAGGGGATCAAAACAAGAGTATGCGTCCTGAAATACCGGTAGTTCCTAAACAGCCCAAACCTCCAGGGCTGGCAACGTGGTCTGTGGTGTATGTCTAGCCCCTGTCAGCTGTGGCGAAGGAGGGAGAACCTCCGCAGCTGGACCTTCTGCTCCAAGACCCCCTTAACCGAGGGTGGCCCAGATGCCTCTCCCCACTGAAAGCCCTAGTTGAGTCATGCTCAAGGCCAAGGATACCTGATTATTGTAATATCTGAGAAAGCAGCCAACAGGCCACCTCCTCATACTCCTCTCTCCTAGACTCTTGTAGAGGCCTCCTAGCTAGTCATCCCATTTTCCCCTCTCCCCATGTCGGTTTGGTTTGCCACACTACACCCTGAGTTACTCTTTTTAAATGGCAATCTGATTGTGTCATTTTTCCATTCAAAACCCACTAGGGGTGCCTGGGTGGCTCAGTGGGTTAAAGCCTCTGCTTTCGGCTCAGGTCGTGATCTCAGGGTCCTGGGATCGAGCCCCATGTTGGGCTCTCTGCTCAGCAGGGAGCCTGCTTTCCTTCCTCTCTCTGTCTGCCTCTCTGCCTACTTGTGATCTCTGTCTCTGTCAAATAAATAAATAAAATCTTAAAAAAAAAAAAAAATACACCCACTATTGACAAAGGCCCAAATCCATAACATGGCAGAGCTGGCCCTCTGTGAGCTGACGCTCCAGCTCATCCCCAGTGCCACTTCCTTTTACACCTTCTTGCTCTTCCCCATTCACCCCACACACACTCTTGTCACAGGCCCTCCATATTTGCTGTTCCACCCACCAGAACAACTCTTCTGCCAAGACTTGCATCTTGTCCAGTTCTTATTCAGAGAAGCCTTCATGGGCAGCCCTCTCCACAATAGTGCTCCTCCATCCTTCAAACACACACACACACACACACACACACAGCCGTTCCGTCTTCTGCCCGGCTTTGTTTTCCTTCATGGCACTTATCACTATCTGAAATTATATGTTTACTTGTACACTTGTTTTCTCTTCGTCTCTCCCCTCTAGAGCAGAAGATCCATATGAAAGGGAACATGTGCAGGTTTGCTCTCTAGTACATCCCCAGTGCAGGGCACATTAAATGTCCAACAAATATCTGTTGAATGAATGAATCATAAATACCTATATAATTCTTGAGGTTCAGATGCTGATCCCTGATGTATTAGGGAGCCAGAAGGTATTTTAAGTAAATCTTCATTTAATTTTCCTTCTTATCCACTGATAAATATGTGGGCTACTGTGTGGGGCACCATTGTAAATAAACAGGCAGGAAATAGGTAAACAAGCTGTTTATCAGCACGTGCTCTGAAGCCAGCACTTACCCTTGTACTTTCACATGCACTAGACAGTGAGGCCCCAAGGATTCTCTGTGGAATAACAAGGGCCTTACCCATTGTAGGTTCTCAGTCAATAAAAAGCACATTCACTAAATGACAGTTCCCAAAGATAAAGTTGACATAATGCTTATTTGACTTTGTCTTTTTTTTCTAGATTTGTACACAATCAAAGGGAATGCCCACGGGACACCATGCATGTTTCCCTTCCAGTATAACCAACAATGGCATCATGAATGCACCCGGGAAGGGCGGGAAGACAACTTACTGTGGTGTGCTACAACCAGTCGATATGAACGGGATGAGAAGTGGGGATTTTGCCCAGATTCCAGTAAGAATAAAATCTAGTTTTCCCCATATGTCATGAATGAATCAAGCATGATTAGAAAGTTATCTGTATTTAAAGAAAAGCACCAGGATTGGTAGATTGAAGTCTGAATAAGCACTCTGATTCCATTTATCCAGATTTTGATTTTATGTTTGTTTTGCCTTGAAAAGACAATTCTGATGTATACTCTTTTTTTCTGCTTATGTTCAAAAGATGTTAATTAGCCATTCTTCATTAAGCTCAGTGCATAAGTAAGGATGCTTTAACCAGAATGAAATTACAACACTCTGTGCACTCATTAATCCCAGCTTCCGGGCGAAATATGTCAAAACAAACCTAAATGCATATAAAACTTCTTCTTTATTTCTACTTTCACCCACCCCCTCTTATAAGCTGCCTTAATTTCTCCATGTCCAGACTGCTTTTCTTGCCTATTGTCAGGTCCAGGGATCAGCTGGTCCCTGAGTGAACTTTCCAAAATTGCAATTGCCCACATTATTTCTCAACAATGAGTTCTCATCTTGAGTTCCCTCTTATTGCTCAATTTCTAGCTATAACCTCAAAATCTGACAGCTGCAATGTTCTATCTTTTTTTTCAGTTAGTACTTTATTATTTTATTTTTATTTAGCTAAAAGTTTTCCAATAGCTGCTAAATATTGAAGAATATTTATATATACCTTCTACTTTTTTTTTTAAGAGAAGAGAGAGAAGGGGGAGAGACAAAGGGGGAAGGAGAGAGAATCTTAAGCAGGTTCCATGCCCAGTGTGGAGCCCAACTCAGGGCTCAGTCTCACCACCTTGAGATCATGATCTAAGGTGAAGTTAAGAGTCAGATGTTCAACCGAGTGACCACCCAGGTGTGCCTATACTTTCTACTTTCTATATTCAGTGTCCTTCACCTTGGTTCCTGCAAATCAGAGTATAGCTCCTACTATCTCCTCTTCCTTGCCTACCTCCCCTCCATATATATTGCCATATATATGACAAAATACAACAAATAAATGTGAAACAGAAGCAAATGGAAGAAATGAATTCCAAAGAATGTGATTTAGAAGTTATCTGTAGAATTGTTTTCTAATCTAAGAACAAATTTGGCTTAGTGAATAAGAGAGAGTACAGTCTTTGAAGTCAAACAGACCAAGCTTGGAGTCTGTTTCCCTTCAACAATGAGATCTTAAGTGTCTGTTTCTTTGTCATACAAATGGAGGTAATAACCTTTTAGGATTATTGAGATCCAATTTGATGATGCATCTAAGGTACATGTATTTCTGGTATACGGTAAGCTCTCACCAGGATTAGCCATTGCCATCAGCATCAACATATATCATCATCAAAGCTAACTTAGCCTTTCAGTATGCAGTTCTGAATCAATGATCCCTTCTCTTTGTTGTCTGTCAGCACCACTAAGTTAGCATAGTGGGGAATATCAAGAGTGCTAGGACTTAGGACCCTTCCTTCAAAGAACTTGGTCTCTAGATGTAATACAGACAGATTTTCTCTATGCCAGAAAATACAGACTATATTTGATATGATATTCTAGAATCACCAGGGAGTTAGTTAACAATACATATCCTGGCCCCTCTCTGAGAGATGAAGTGTGTCCAGTGTGTGGGACCCAAGCATCTGCATTTTTGACAAGTAACCCAAATGATCCTGTTGCAAATAATTCTTTTTTTTTTTTTAAGATTTCATTTATTTATTGGACAAAGAGAGACACAGAGACAGAGGGAGCAGAGGCAGAGGGAGTGGGAGAGGGAAAAGCAAGCTCCCCGCCCAGCAGGGAGCCAGATGCGGGGGCTCAATCCCAGGACCCTGGGATCATGACCTGAGCTGATGGCAGACACTTAACAACTGAGCAACCCAGGTGCCCCTGCAGATAATTCTTCATCAGACAATTCACAGTATGCAGATAATTCTGTGCAACATACATCTATATGCTGATATTAAGACATTTAACAACTAATATGGTATGGACTTTTGACCAATCCAAGTGAAGACTTTAACACAGAGGTTAGGGATCCTGAAGGCCCAGTGCTGGTTTTAACCCCTCAGATTTTGGAGTGTGAGATGTGATGAAGGAGAGATGCAGGAGAGACTGGGGAAGGGACACCTGGGTGGCTCAGTGGGTTAAGCGTTTGCCTTTACTCAGGTCATGATCCCAGGGTCCTGGGATCCAGCCCCACATCAGGCTCCCCGCTCAGGAGGAAGTCTGCTTCTCCCTCTCTCTTTGCCCATCCTCCCCACTCATGCGCTCTCTCTCTCAAATAAATAAGTAAAATTTTTAAAAATAAATACAAAGTAAACCAATACCAATAACATTAACATGTATTTCACATGGCCCTAATACCGGGGACATTAAAAAAAATTTTTTGATGTTATGTTAATCACCATTCAGTACATCATTAGTTTTTGATGTAGTGTTCCCTGATTCATTATTCGCGTATAACATCCAGTGCTCATTACAACATGTGACCTCCTTAATACCCATCACTGGGTTGCCCCATCCCCTTCTCCCACTCCCCTCTGAAACCCTCAGATTGTTTCCTGGAGTCCACAGCCTCTCATGATTCATCTCCCCCTCTGATTTCCCCCCTTCAGTTTTTCCTTCCTTCCCCTAATATTCTCTGTGCTATTCCTTATGTTCCACATACAAGTGAAACCATATGATAATTGTCTTTCTTTGCTTGACTTATTTCACTTAACATAACACCCTCCAGTTCCTCCATGTCAATGCAAATGATGGGTATTCATCCTTTCCGATGGCTGAGTAATATCCCATTGTATATATGAACCACATCATCTTTATCCATTCATCTGTTGAAGGGCATCTTGACTCCTTCCACAGTTTGACTATTGTGGACAGTGCTGCTATGAACATTGGTGTGCATGTGCCCCTTCTTTTCATTACATCTGTATCTTAGGGATAAATACCAAGTAATGCAATTGCTGGGTCATAGGGTAGCTCTATTTTTAACTTCTTGAGGAACCTTCATACTGTTTTCCAGAGTGGCTGTACCAGCTTGCATTCCCACCAATAGTGGAAGAGGGTTCCCCTCTCTCCACATCCTCTCCAACGTTTGTTGTTTCCTGCCTTATTAATTTTTTCCATTCTAACTGGTGTAAGGTGGTATCTCAATGTGGTTTTGATTTGAATTTCCCTGATGGCTGATGATGTTGAACATTTTTTTCATGTGTCTGTTAGTCATTTGTATGTCTTCTTTGGAGAAGTGTCTGTTCATGTCTTCTGTCCATTTTTTGACTTGACTTTTTGTTTTTTGGGTGTTGGGTTTGAGAAGTTCTTTTTTTTTTTTTTAAAGATTTTATTTTTATTTATTTGACAGACGGAGATCACAGGTAGGCAGAGAGGCAGGCAGAGAGAGGAAATGAAGCAGGCTCCCTGCTGAGCAGAGAGCCCGATGCGGGGCTTGATCCCAGGACCCTGGGATCATGACCTGAGCTGAAGGCAGAGGCTTTAACCCACTGAGCCACCCAGGCGCCCCGAGAAGTTCTTTATAAATCTTGGATACCAGCCCTTTCTTTATCTGTTATGTCATTTGCAAATATCTTCTCCCATTCCATGGGTGCCTCTTAGTTTTGTTAACTGTTTTCTTCACTGTGCAGAAGCTTTTTGTCTTGATGAAGTCCCAAAAGTTCATTTTTGGTTTTGTTTCCCTTGCCTTTGGAGACGTGTCATGAAAGAAGTTGCTGTGGCCGATGTTGAAGAGGTTACTGCCTATGTTCTCCTCTAGGACTTTGACATTTTTTTTAACCACAATATTCTCCCTGAGGTTCTGTGAAGAGCCCAGTTACCATCCTCTGTCTTTTGTATTCAATTGTGGTTTCCCAGGTGGAAGCTTGGGTGTAATAGTGCTTGGGGCTTTTCACGCCCCCCACCCCCATCTTCCTATAGCTCAGGAGCTTCTTCTGCTTGACAGCCTGCTAGCTTCCAGCTCTCCTAACCTGAACCACAACCAGTAGTATTTGTGTAGTGCTAAATTACACTTCCAGTTTTCTTCCTTTCTTGTTGCTTTTGATCCCTGGTGGCCAACATAACTCAAAATGATGTGTTAGAGGCTGAAATCTAAGCAAGCTGATAGCTCTTTCCATGGGGCCAACAAGTGGATAGGACAGAAAGGAATGAGTGGGATAAAGTAAAGATTTGTACTTCTGTATCTCATCTTTATTAATGGAAGTTGTTAGTATCTCATTGTAAAATGAAGCTTCCTTTAAAAAAATTGGTTGTAAGTGATCAAAATATAAATTTAGTATTATTACATATATAAACACACTGGCAGTGAGAGATACAATAAAACCACTGTCACTATTGATTTTCAGGAACAAGGAGATATATAGGAATCTCTCTGGGTTTGTTTAGAGGCAATTCAGGGCCATGCTAAGTCTCTCTTAATTGTGTGTCTTATACAGCTGGACACTCATGTTTAGTTAGTTTGAGATATTTTTAAGATATCAACCTCTGAAATGGTCTGATTGCCCTTGAACCTTATTCAGTTGATACAATTATTTTATTAGAAACTTCAGTGGTAGAACAGATTGGTATCAACATAGATATATGACTGTGAACCTTACCTAAGCTTCCAACATTGGTTGAAATGCTGTTATTTCTCTTTTGTGATACTGCTCTCTTGCTCCCCACAGTAACCATACCAACCTCCCTATCCTCCTCTAACTTCTTACCCTACCCCTCATTCTCCTTCCTGATTCTCACCAGATGACCTCAGTTCTTACTGATAATGAAAACAGAATCCATCAGAGGGAAGTTTTGACAATTTCTCTTCCGTAACCTCTAAGCCTACCTAGGTCTATACCCAACTTTTTCCCTCCCCACATACAATAGAGTTCCTCCTTCTACTTAGGGCACGTCTCCCCACTTGGACTCCAGAGCCTCCCATTCAACCTTCTCTAACCTGTATCTCAGTGTTTCTCAAAGTGTGATTCCCATTATAGCAGCAGCAGCAGCAGCAGCATTCCTTGCAAGTTTGCT